GATAAAAACACTGACAGCCAATCAGAATCCATCCTGCTTTAAAGAGCTCGAGCATTTAAAGCGGCAGAGACTAATAATAAACAGAACGATCATGCATTGTTGTGGACGCTCATACGAGTTTATCAGCTTTATGTTTTTATTTTTTGGCTCAAACGAGCTTCATAGATCATCGAGGGGGCAAAGGTCAATAATCAAAGGTGCTCACGCGCCTCTACTCGCACTATTAATGAGCGTTATTCGTCATTTATGATTTAATTGGGACCATCTTTATTCATCAGCAAATTTCTACTGGAGTATTAGAGGGCTCGAGAGGGATCGAGTCGTTTTAATTGCGAGTGAGCTGGCAACACAACACGAAACCATGCGGCGCGGGGGAAACGCAGCCAATATTTCATACATGCATCAGCACTTTACCCTATTTCTATGTATTGATGATTTAAAAAAGCTGATGACAACACTTTCCCCCCTCAATATCAGTATTTAATATGTTCTTATTTCGTTCTATGTGCATGCTACTGGCTGTTCTCACTTTATTTATTTTTAATCAAAGTCATTTAGATTGAGATAAAAACACAGCAATCAAGTCAAGTCACATTTATTTATTTCTATAGCGTTCAACAAGACTGTCTCAAAGCAGATCCACAACAGGGAAATAATGATGCAAACTTCTCAAATATGAGAGAAATTCAAATTCAGATCGATTCAGTTCAGTTCAAAGTGCACACTACAAAAACAAAAGATGTCTTTTAAGTAGGGAAAAGTGGGGGGAAATGTCTCCTTGGTAGGCTTCAAATTAAAAAACATGAAAACTCCGGACATTTTTCACACTTGCATGGTTTATAACTTATGTCATTGTCACTCAAACTAACTATTCTAGACACTTTTGTTTCATAGAAAAAAATGACACCGTCCTTAAGGGGGATGTTTTCTCCCACTCTTCTTGGAGAGTGAAACCAAAAGCGTTCAAACACTGAATGAGTTTATCTTATTGGAGTAGTATAATCAGAGGAGCCGCTTTTGAAATGATAATGCGGACTGGAACAGAATGGAAATGATACACGTTTTGTATTGAACAAGGAAGCTTGTTCCTGCCGTCACTGGGGAGCGTTTGAAAAGCGATACACCTGTATTCATTGACAGGCAATTTGCACGAGCTCGAGGCGCGTTTAGCTTTACAAGCGACGTGAGACAGTGCCTTATATTTTAGCGGTCGGTTTGTTCAACTCAGATCCATTAGGAGTGTTTTGACCATTAGGTTCAAGCTCTCTCTCTCTCTCTCTCTCTCTCTCTCTCTCTCTCTCTCGCTTTCTTTGTGGAAGAAAAATAGGCGGCAGGGGTTGGGAAGACAGAGGCGCCAAAAATAGAAGCCATTACTCCATTATTACAGCCTATCGTCTGTTGCTAGGCAATGGTATCAGATTAACACTAATTATCATTTTATCACACTTTCTTCACTTCGACGTTCCCTCTTTCCTCTCTTCATTCCTCAGCAGAGCCGGAATCGCAAATAGGATCCTATGCATCGAAGTGCTGTCGGAAGCCTCCGAATCCATTAATCAACATATCTCGGTTCCGAGGCTTTTCATTCGCTGCCGTTATTACATGAGACTTAATGAATATTGGAGAAGCCAAAATCCAGCTAACATTCTCAGAACGTTCTCTCAAAGTTATCAACAAACGCTCTGCCAGTAACGGTAATAGAATGTTTAATAACGTTCTAAAAACGTCATGTTACTTATGGATCAGTAAACGTACTTACTTTTATGTATAAAATGGAACATTCTTTTAATATTTTTGCAAACATTCACTTAAAAAATATATGTATATATATATTTTAAACATTAATGGGCCAAGCACAAAGAAGGCAATATAAGTCATGCCAACATAAGCCAATATCAATGCCAATATAACAATGAGCAATTAGACATATTTGTTTTAAGCAAAATGGATGAAAAATAGTCACTATTAATTTAATGGTTTATCACTTTCAACCAATAGGTGGCGCTGTGACCAAATTGATGTGGTGTGGTCAGAGTGACATTTCATGTCAATATGCTAAAGCATTGCAGAGATACAGCCCCAATCATTTTGACATCATGCTATTAAATATGTTATGCGCTAAACGGTAATAACGAAAGCGGTTTGGTCTAAAAACAAAATCCATAACTTTTTGCTGGCATGGTCTAAAGATGAAACGATTCGGAGGTGATGAAAATCGGACAAACGCTTTACAAGGAGTCCGAAAAAGTAGGTTTTTAAAGAAAATCTAAATGGTGGACACTGGACAGGAAGTTTGGCCGACTATGGCAAAATCACTATATATGTTCGCGGCATGACCCAAGACATTTACAATAGGCCAATTTGATCAAATTTTTGTTATTAGTTATTAGCATTTTTGGACTTTTGTTTGTAATTGTTGACCACAAGTTGGCGCTGTCCCAAAACTTTGAGTACCGCATGATGCCGAGCGAGTTTCTTAAATATACGGCAACGTAATCTTCAAATATAGCATTTTACCGAAAAAATATAAAATAGCCGATATGGGTATCGTTTGACTCGGCATGCTGCGCCAAATCAAAAGAGACAAGTTTTGTAATTTTTGGCCAAACCGTTCAGAAGTTATAAGCATTTTTCATATGTCCTCCTGACCACTCGTAGCCACAGGACATGGCTTTCATAACACACCAAGTTTGGTCAGAATACGCTAAAGCATTGCAAAAATATCTGTTATTCGATAATGGTTTCAGAATCAACTTGATTAATCTGGTTAAATTTCCGTGAAAATCGAAAATGTTGTTTTTTCGGAAAATTCTAAATGGAATCGAATCGTCATGATCCAAGGATTCAGGGGAAAAAATTACTTTTTATCCCTTACGTTCAAAAAATATGAACAAACTCGAGAGCAATTTTGGACAGTTGGTGGCGCTAGAGTAATAGAGACTCTTTGAGTGCCAAATTTCATAACTTTCCCGCAAGCGGTTCTATGTTTTATGGGAAACGGATAATAATAATAATAGGAATGCCAACGAACACAATAGGCGCCTACACACCTTCAGGTGCTTGCCCTCTAATAACGTGTCCATAACTCAATGAGAATGTTATCAAAATGATCTTAGATGATATTAGCGTTAGCTAGGACTGGCAAAAGCCGAACGCACCTCTATGTTCTCGCTCTTGGAACGTCGAAGGAAACGCACCATCTGGAAAAGGAAAGTAATAAAACCACAGCCAAATCCAGCAATCCTGTGTGCACATATGAAGACTTCCAGCTCTTTTTAATCACACTCATTCACATGACTGACATTCACTTTCGTCGTCTCTTGGCAAAAGTACAGCGAAAGCCGTTTTGTTCTTTGAGAACAGATTTTGCTGCTAATTAACAGACACGTATGAGGTGGTGTTTAGGAAGCGCCCTACATTGAGCCGGTGACGGCGTCTGAAAACACCTTCGTCTCAGTTTCTGCAGTGATTTATTCCTGTGGATCTCTGGCGCGCGTGTAGGCCGAGGCTCGAGGGCACGAGCGCATTGTTCCAAACCTGCCCATTGTTTCTGAGCTCAGGGCCAGTAATGAGGGACCGTGGAGGAGCCGAGCGCTGTGCTGCTGTCAGAGTGAAGAATGCACACACACACACACACACACACACACATCTATAAATGAGGGAATATATGTCTGGTTAATTAGAGGTACTGACCCTGTGTTGCTTTAATACACATCCTCTATTAGTCAGAGTAAATTATTCATACTACTGTGTGAACATTAAACCGGTTTAACCTGTGATATATCAGGGTTTCTCGATCTCACTGCAAAACATTGTTACATGTGGTCATCTTTCATAGTTTGGCTTGTTCATTTGGGGTTTAAAAGACACTTAATATTAGAAGTATTATTGATTCGACTGCACTGACACTCAGCGAGAACAAAACCTGAATTGAACAATGACACTTCTGTAGAGCTACTGTATATATATATATATATATATATATATATATATATACAGTACATTTTGTGTGTGTGTTGCTTGGTAAACCCTACATTATGTAAAATGCAGAAAGTGTGATGGGCAAGTTTAGGGGTCGGGTAAGTGTAAGGGGAGAGAATATACAGTTTCTACAATATAAAAAATCATTATTGAGAGTCCCCATAAAACACAGAGTGTGTGTGTAGGTTAAGATGTGAATATATCAGCATTATTCCTCCAGTCTTCAGTAATAATATTAATAATAATAATAATTCATTACATTTATATAGCGCTTTTCTCTGCACTCAAAGCGCTTAAATCACACCCTGTCACATGATCCTTCAGAAATCACACTAATATTACTATATCTCATTTATGAATGTTTTGTTTAAAAGATTCTTTTATTAATAAAAAAATAATTTATTTAAAATAAATAAAATAATTTTAATTGATCAATTTAATCCATCCTTGCTGAATATTTTTTTTTTAATTTAAATTATTAAACCAACATTTTAACCCTAAAACCGTATTCTGGACAAATCTTTATTTTTTTAAAAATACTTCCCTTCATCTGAGCGGTACAAGACTTAGCTACTTTTCCTAAGTTTGCCTCCTGAACAAACACTATATATTTTTTGACTCAATTCTACAAAGTTAAGTGGGTGAAAAATAAAAACTCCTTAATCTTGTATTTGGGTCAAAAATGGGCACCCATAGAAATGAAATGAATGGGAAAAACTGTAATTTAGAGCTAAAATAACAGCAAAGTCACTTCATCTTTAGGTTTTAGCTCTAAGAACTTATTTGAATGACATTTTAATGTAGTTTAAAAAAAATAAAACACAAAAATATGCATAATTTACATAGAAAATATGGTACTTTTTGAAGTAAATAAATTCAAAAATACCCCCAAAAATAAAAAAACACCATAAATGGATAGACAAAACTTTATCGAAGACAGTGATATAACATTTATAATAAACAAAAATTAGGATCACACATTTGTCCACAATTACAAGATTAAGGGCTATAAAGTGAATACGGTTTGAGGGCTACTTGGTTTTCTATATTTATAATAACAAGACATGTTTCTTGAGCAGCATGTCCAGCATCCTCATTTTTAAAGCTGTTCAACTCAAGTTTGCATTTACACTTCTGAAAGCATGTGCAGGAGTGCTTTGATTATTGAAAGATTTGCTGCATTTATGTTTCCAGTAAGTGATTCCTGCACTGTGCTCCAGTTCCCACAAATTCCTGACTCTTCAACTTCCCAACATCTCACCTTGAAAATGAACCACTTTGATTTATAGCGTCGGAGGGAAGAGTTTCCATCTTCACCCCCCGAGTTGTCACAGCTATTCTATAATTGGACGAGCCGCGTGACCGACCTAGCCGGAGCTTTTCAGGCGGCCATCTTTGGGAATTTTCCCTCGTTTGGCACTGAATCGGAGGCAAAAACTAGGACGTTGTTCATGTTGTCATTAATTGCACTGAAGAAAAAAAAAAAACCCACTTCATTGTCCTCCAAGAGTAAAAGCGAAGAGAGAGGATCTTCAGTCACTGACCTCAAAGTGTCACCTGACTCGTTTTATCCTCATTGTGTCGTCGCTATACATGTTCCAGAAACCGTCCTCCCGTCCAGCGTATCATCGACCCCAGGACAGTCGAGAACTGGTGACCTTCTCTAACTCTTCCATGGATCTAAAGGTGCTCCCGAGTCGACGTTACACGCGTCCAGACGGTGTCGGTGTGTTCAATCTGCCTCGGGTCACCGCAAACCGTCTCTCCTGAGGACAGAAATCCAATTAGCTGCTGAAAAAACATCATGTGTTTCACACTAATTACTCTTACTGTGTGTGATACTCTATTTCTGAGACAGAAGCATATTTGTGTTTTTAGGACTGTTTCATGAGAACCAGACGTAAAAACGATATAAATCTCAGACAAACCGCTCGTTTCGTGTCTTAGGCCATCATTGTATACTTAAATTTACGAGTCATTAAATCATGTTTAATTTGGACTTCTCTGTGCATGCTCTTTGAGGTGGTGACCATAGACCTCCATTATATGACTGAGAGACACGAACGGTTTGACCTAAAAATGTCAAAATTGAAAATACTGCGGAAACCAAGACACCTACATCTTGGATGCCCTTGAGGAACGCTAAAACATATCAACAATTAATTTCAAAGTGAACTATCCCTTTAATTACACAGTACTTTCCAGGCTGTAATCGAAAGCGTTCCCTAGATTTCTATTAGTAAAAATGTTATTTTTTTTATATCAACATCACTTGAACAAACTTGAATTCTTGATTTCAAGATTTGAAAATTTCAACTAGCAAAAATTATAATTCTTAATATCTGTAATTGTATTTTTACTACGCTGAAAAAAACCCAATGTGTTTAATAAGTTACGAGAACATGCTTTTACAATGCTATAACTCATCAAAATAAGTCATTTTCAACTTTTTTGTCATAGAAGTCAGTTAAATGTTGAAATGACTTAAACATCCAAGTTGATTGTGGTTAAAGTGATACTCCACTTTTTATTTGGAAATAGGCTTTTTGATATTTAAAAGAATATCAGTAACCAGACAGTTTCTAGTCTCATTGACATCCATAGTAGGAAAAAAATATATATAGTATAGTATAATATATAGTATGGAAGTCAATGAGACCAGAAACTGTCTGGTTACTGATATTCTTCTAAATATCAAAAATATCGTCTGAATACATTAGAAAACGGTAAAACCCGACTGTTTAACTCTAGGGGAGTTTTTTTTTCCAAAAAAAAGTGGAGTATCCCTTTAAGGCAGAAACTTTTTTTAAAGTGTAGTTAATTTTGAACAATTTAAAATGTAAAATTAAAAAAAATAATACAATTTCTATCCTATTTGTCACAATAGGATGTCAATTTAATTTGAATGGCAGCCTATGGTGACATTTAACTACAGTAAAAATACAATCATCAGCACTTTAAAAGTTGAAATGTAATTATTGATATCAAGAATGATCATTTTAACTAGTAAAAATCCAATTTCTGATATCAAGAATTAGCATTTTAACTAGTGAAAATGTAAGTGTTGATTTCAAGAATTTATAATAATGAATAAACGTCACTACAGTGATGACGATCTTCAACATGTCACGGAGTGCCAAAAACCCTTGTTTACCGTGGTAAAACCAGACAAGAGAGCAGCTTCATCAATAATTCAGTTTAAAAAAACACACAGTTTCTCATTGGCTGACAGGTTTTATGATGTGTGAATCTGCTCACCTGGCCTCTGAACACTTCATTCAAAACGCTTCTTGTTCAACCTTTTCTTCAGCATCTCACTGAGCCTCTGCCTCTCTCTCTCGGAAACGGTTGTCATGGCAACCCACAGAACTTTCTTCGCAATGCCACTTTTAGAAACAAAGTTAGCAGAATTCCTCCAGGGTTCAGAAGAAGTGGAGAGACGATGAAGCTACAGGTAATGCAAAAATCACTCTCGGCGTCCTCAAACGAGGCCCTAATGGAGAGAACGCAGTGAATTAACCAAGCGCGTTTTCACAATTGGCTCCTAAACTATGGAATAGCCTTCCTGATGATGTTCAGGCTCTCCCAGTTCAAATCTAGCATTCATGTAATGCATCTCCTAACCTTATATGAGATCAAATGCACATGATTATTCTTGCTTAATGCTATGATATGAACAGCTATGTATTTTCTTTTCTGTTTAATCATGCCCATCCTGAGGTAACTCGAGAGTTTATCAGCTCCAGTTTGGATAATGAAGACTTTAATATGCTACATTTAATAATGCTACATTTTTCTAAATGTCATAATCATTTGTTAACAAACAAGTATTCATTACCTCATTGGTTCTGCATTAAATTAGTACAGTGTATAAATGAATACATTTTTAGCTAACTGTGATTTGTATATGTACATTTCTGAAATGCATAACTTAGATAACAGATCACTCTAAACTGTAATATGGACGTAAAGCTGCTTTGAAACGATGTGTATTGTGAAATGCGCTATACAGTGGTGTGAATAAGTGTTTGCCCCCATGCTAAAGTTGCCTAAAAAGAGGAATAAAAAATCATCTTTTGGATATTGATCTTAATGCCTTAATTAGAAAAATGAGGAAAACTCTCAAACCTAGAGATTGGCATGGTTTTACTTCAGTTAGCCTAATAGCTAGTTTGATTTGCATTGAAAGATGATCTTATGGAAAGTACCCCATGCCAATCTCTAGGTGTGGTGGAAGGTGTGTGATGATGTGGGGATATTTTAATCCCAAAGGCCAAGCGAACTTTATCAGGATGAATATTATCCTGGATCCATGAAATAACTGGCTTTTAAAAATAAAAATCTGCCTGACTCTATGGGAATTTAACATAGGGGTGCCGTGACTTATGCACCCTGTATTTAAAGGAAAAACATTTATTTATTTATGATACATTATTCATTCACAAAGAAAATGTATGTCCTTAAAGGTTGGAGTTTTCCTCATTTTTCTAATTAAGGCATTAAGATCAATATCCAAAAGATGATTTTTTATTCCTCTTTTTACTTTAGCAAGGGGGCCAAAACTTATTCACACCACTGTATACGGAAATGTGAATTGAATCATGGGATGACGAGCGGTGCAGGTGAAAACCTAAGTCTGGTTTAAGTTAGTCTTAATCTCAAGCTCAAGCAGATGCACACACACACACACACACGGCATCAAATTGTCTCCCTCGTCGGCTGTCAGCGCGAGTGATCGTGTCAAGGAGACACATGTAATTTCACCTCAGCAACAGCTGCCTGTAATTACTCCCGCGTGCACCACTCTTGAAAACAGCTTGATTTTTTGGTTGAAGCGATTCGGCGCTCAAAAGGTTCTGCGAACACACATAAAGGACGCGAGAGTGTGCTTGTAAACAGTGATGCACGATCAGAAATGTCATCATGTGGGTGAATATTGAAAAAATACTCAAATAAACAAGGAAATCAAATATGATTACAGCTCCAGGCTTTGCCAGACATCCACAGTTACGGAGGATAGAGTACACTACTGCCTTTACTGTGTTATTCAATATTACCAGTCTCATTCACTCTGCAGTTCATACGGGTTTGATCACATCTATCAATCTATCTATCTATCCATCTATCTAACTACCCATCCATCCATCCATCCATCTATCTACCCATCCATCCATCCATCTATCTACCCATCCATCCATCTATCTACCCATCCATCCATCCATCCATCTATCTACCCATCCATCCATCCATCTATCTACCCATGCATCCATCCATCTATCTAACTACCCATCCATCCATCTATCTATCTATCTACTCATCCATCTATCTACCCATCCATCTATCTATCTACCCATCCATCCATCTACCCATCCATCCATCCATCCATCTACCCATCCATCCATCTATCTATCTACCCATCCATCTATCTATCTACCCATCCATCCATCTATCTATCTACCCATCCATCCATCCATCTACCCATCCATCCATCTATCTACCCATCCATCTATCTATCTACCCATCCATCCATCTACCCATCCATCCATCCATCTATCTATCTACCCATCCATCCATCCATCCATCCATCCACCCACCCATCCACCTATCTACGCATCCATCCATCCATCTATCTACGCATCCATCCATCCATCTATCTACCCATCCATCCATCTATCTACCCATCCATCCATCTATCTACCCATCCATCTATCTATCTATCTATCTATCTATCTATCTATCTATCTATCTATCTATCTATCCTATCCATCTATCTATCCATCCATCTACCCATCCATCTATCTATCCATCCATCTATCTACCCATCCATCAATCATCCATCTATCTATCTATCTATCATCTATCTATCTATCTATCTATCTATCTATCTATCTATCTATCTATCTATCTATCTATCTATCTATCTATCTATCTATCCATCTACCCATCTATCCATCCATCTATCTATCCATCTATCTATCTATCTATCTATCTATCTATCTATCTATCTATCTATCTATCTATCTATCTATCTATCTATCTATCTATCTATCTATCTATCTATCTATCTATCTATCTATCCATCCATCTATCTACCCATCCCTCCATCTATCTACCCATCCATCCATCCATCCATCCATCCACGTCACAAACCACCTTGTAACTAATCAGATCAACGTGTTATCGTCAACCAGAGTGAGTGAGTGGAGGCGGGGCTCATTTGCTTATTCATAGAACCACGCATACTAAATGAGGCAAGGGTGTCGAGTTACATTCAAAATATTTTAAGACTACAGGGAGGCTTTAAGGAATTTATTTTTTATAAAAAATTTTTTTTACATTAAACGTTTTGCTTGTGATTAAACCCAAAACTTTGACCGTTTGCTATTGGCTGATCTCATGTGAGTGACAGATTGCCCCGCCCACATCATCAGAGAAGAAAAGCTGCAAGAGGAAGTTATTCTGATTCAAGGTTATGAGGCACATGAATTAAAAATAATAATAATGATGTGCACAGATAAATAACTCATAAAAAATACCACAGATGCAATATTCCATAAAAAGTAGTTTGATTTCATGGTGACTTTAACACACACGACACGCTCGACCTCTGCATTGATAAACGCTCACAAACACAGCGTTTTGGCTTTGAGGAGCGCAGATACAGTACAAACTCCTGTGTGAGCCGCTGACAAGAGAGCGAACACAGATGGCATAATCGTGTTTCATTAATTTACACCTTTCGAGGCAGATGCACGGTTATATTTATAAAGGTGTAAGACTGGGCGCCATTTATCGCACATGCCGCTATAGCGAGTTCAACGTCAAACATGATTGTGTGATATTTATACAATCACAGTCTGCATCTAAAAGAAAGTCAAATTCACTCTCGAGAACTTTAGAGCAAATTAAAAAGAGTTTTAAGTGACATCAATATGCATTCATGCTAAAAGGAACCAGAATTTGGTGGTTTGATGGCCTTCTTGGCCACCGAAATGGGTTTCTCTGGTCATAAGACTAACATGACACATTCATAATCAAGACATATGTCAATGTCATATCTGAAGGCGTCATGTCAGTCTTACGCACACCCCTTCAAGTAAAGTGTTACCTCCCAAGCAATAATTTAGATCAAAACTTAAAATATATTTATACATTGATGTCCCCACCAATTTCAAAATCAAACCTACGCCACTGCTTTAAACTTCATTTTGATGATTTTTCACCAAAAAAAAAAGGAAATTCATTTTTTAACCTGCATTAAAAGGTAAATCCACAGATCAGATGTGTTATGCATGACCTGTAGAAACTCTTGTGAGAGGTGAACGGACCTCTACCTGCCACAATCACTGCCGCCTGCAATTACTGCCACGACTCTTCGGCTCGCTGATTAACTGCCTCGCATGGCCAATGCTTGTCAAGTCTAAACCCTCTTCAGCTCTCAATAAAGTCAGCCAGCAATTGCAACTTAGTTGAAGACGACGGGAACAGGATCAGCGTGAAGCTCTCGCTTTAAATAACAAGCTCTCACACGGAGAGTGACCGTCTGCTATTTAAAGTTAAACAACACAAAAGTAATTTAATCGAGGAGCAGCTTGTGTCTCATTCACACTTCAATCAAATATAAATTAAAATGTGGCCTGAGGGGCTGTTTCACACGACACCGTTTTCAACTAAAAACGTAAAACTGTTTATGCCGCTCGACGACTGAGTTTTAGGTGCCTAAAAAAAAAACGCAACGTTTTTGAAAAGGTCTCCACAATAAAAACGCGAAGACAAAAACGTCACGCACATGCGTATTACGTGTTCAATCTATAGTGTTTCATCGCCATCTAGTGGCCAGGCAGCAGAACACAGCGTTTTTAGTCGTTTCGCGGATCTGTGTGAATGGAGATCGTTTTGACAATGGTGTCGCCTGTACGCGGAAAAGGTAAACGAACCTTATACATTGATGCCATTGGTCGTCGTGTTATGTGACCACTAATGAGATCAATGAAAATTAGTGTATAACGACCTCAGTTTCCTTTTGTTCGCACACAAAACATCATATGACTGAAATGACAGTATACAGTAGTTCGCAAAAGTGCACATCTTCACGCCTTTATTTAGATTTAATTTGATTCAAAATGTGTTAAAGATGTCACGTAGTTAATTAAAATAATTTAATGAAACATGTCGACGTCATTTTTATCAAAGCTGTCACCGAAGCGTCCGCACCCTTTCAAGATCACTTGAACGTGGCTGTGGTTACAAGAGGTAAAAACGACATAAATACTGTTCGTTTTCCCACACAAACCGCTCGTTTCGTGTCTTAGGCCATCAATGTGTACTTACATTTACGAGTCATTAAATCAGGTTTAATTTGGACTTCTCTGTGCACGCTCTTTGAGGTGGTGACCATAGACCTCCATTATATGACTGAGAGACACGAACGGTTTGACCTAAAAATAAAAAAAATTGAAAATACTGCGGAAACAGACACCTACATCTTGGATGCCCTTGAGGTACGCTAAAACATCCCAAAAATGTATTTCAAAGTGAACTATCCCTTTAAAACACTTTATACCCATGACCCAGATCCGCACTAATAAAGCCCCATTCTTACAAATCATAAACTAAAAAAGGTTGGATTAGGGTTTAGTTAATAACCTTTTCATGCCAATTCTTCTACACTGCAGTCTTGTTTTCTGAAAAAAAAATGTGATAAGAAAAAAAAAACTTAATTCAATAGGAAAACAAGATTATTTGTTTGTTTGTTTGTTGTTTTAAGCATGAATTTCGCTGATTTCTTTTAAGTAATTTTATTTCTCAAGTAAACGTATCAAGATTTTTGAATGTTTGGATATAAAACAAGACAAAAATACGGAGGAAGAATTGTTTTGCAGTGTTTCGTCTCTGGCCAAACGTGAGCAGATCAACCAGATTCACTGAAGATAGCGTTCTGATTCATTCAAGGCTTTTTTCAACTTCTGTGTTTGTCAATCTTGTCCTTGTATCAACACACTCGGGGCACAGACGGAAACGAGGTTTGTTGTATTAGCGCGAGCAACTCTCCACACGACCGCTTTCTTTCCTCAACTCAGGAAACTAATCTCCTCAACACGAAAATGGATGCAAGGAAGGTGTAAAAAGAAAAAGAAAGAGAAAAGGCAAGAGGGAAGAGAAAAGAGAGTCTGCAATCTCACCTCTCCTCACGAACATTGTCACACACACTTGCATTCCTCACCTCCAATTAGCGGGAAGAGGGTCCTAAATATAGCAGCCATCACACACTCCAATCAGATCGCGAGACTCATGCGCTGGAGAGCCTGATTATCTCGCGATGTGTGTGTGTGTATACAATGGTTGAACAATGGAGGAAAGATCGTCTGATCGGTGGCCCGTCCGATCGATAAATTCCTAAATTGGCGTTGCTCTATATAAATCGATGGAGGTAAATTGTCACTGCGATTATCAATTGTGTCATTGATCGAGTCTAAACGCCTGCGGTGTTGACTGACACTCAAACGAGGCCTATTGTGAGTGTACCCATTGCTTCTTTGGACATAGGCTATATAATACGACATCTAAAACGGCGATTAGACACAAACGTCAATGACAGCAGAGCAGTCAGCCACCGATTCTGAACACTGGCCTATTTGTAGACCTAACGTACTGGAAAACGAGACAACATATTTTATGCGATCTATAGCAGTGTTGTAGTCGAGACCACCTCACTCGAGTCCGAGTCGACACCGAGACCAGAGAGAGTCGAGTCCGAGACCAGAGACGGTCGAGTCCGAGTCGAGACCGAGACCAGTGAGGGTTGATTACCTAATTTACTTTTATTTACTTTGAGAAATCCTTTTTTTTTTTACTGAATTTACTTAGAGTTTAAAAAATATGATCAGTTTAGGGTAAAAAGGCCACATAGAAGGTGGTGTTAAAAGTAATTTTATTACAATTTGTCATGCGCAGTTGCGCACTAGAAAATCACCAATCACTGGGTGTGTCAATCAATTTAAAGAAATATTTTATTAACATACATTAATAATCATGAAAAATATTTTCAATTGAACTCGAGTGGACTCGGGAATAATTCCGAGTCCTAAAAAAAAAATATGTTCGAGTACAAGTCAATTCCGAGTCCAAATGGACACGAGTCCATGACAAGACCAAGACATTAAAATATGGTCTCGAGACCGAGTCCGAGACGAGTCCGAGTCTCGAGTACTACAACACTGATCTATAGGCTAAAAACATATTATTCTGTCTCATTTTCCCCTTCGCTCTGCTAAAGGAGAATTTAATGGTTAGAATAGCGTAATATAAAGTCCCAATTTCCTGTTATAATGTCAGAATTGTGAGATATAAACTCGCAATTGCGAGAAATAAACTTTATAACTCGCAATTGCAAACTATACTGAGAAAAGATGTCAGGAGTCAAGCAAGCACTCACACCAATGACGATAATTAAAGATATAGATCTAAAAATCATTCTAAATATAAAGAATAGCAGAGTTCACACCACCACAACTTAACAAATAAACGAAATAAATTTGGAATCACGATTTTTGTTCCTCGTGAACAATAAAAACACTGACAGCCAATCAGAATCCTGCTTTCAAGAGCTCGAGCTTTTAAAGCGGCAGACAACAAAACTGCAGTGCACAGAACGATATAATATTGTTAGCGTTGTTATTGTGTTGCATTTCAGCACTGATTTCACGCAGCCGCCATTTTGAAATGGCTCCAGTGGGAAGCAAACCGGAAGTATCGCCTTTAATCATAGGAGAGTCGCGAATGCGATGGCGTATTGTTGAGTTTAACGTAGAAATTTGTTATTCTAAAAATGTACATACATTTCTTTCATCCTTTAGACTATATACAGTGAAATTAATACATTCATAAATATATATATATACATTTAGAACATAAAAACTGAAGCAGGAACGAACTATAATCATATCCTATATTGGATATTAACATCCAATAGTTTAAATTGCGGCAGCAGCTTCAGAATTGGTAGTCCAAGACATTGTTGTCCCAGACAGCAAACTGACATTGAATCAACGTGGAAACGACGTCTCTCATGACATTGAAACAACGTTGATTTTGCTCATCGAATTAACGTTGAACCAACGTCAGACGCGGCATTCTTCAAAGCTAAATGAAAATCGAAATTGGTTTGCTTTCATAACGTTGAAACAACGTTGATTTCAAGTTGATTTTCCGTTAGTTTTGAAAGAATGACGCGTCTGACGTTGGTTCAACGTTAATTCGATGAGCAAAACAATGTCAGATCAACGTTGTTTCGATGTCATATTTCCACGTTGATTCAATGTCAGTTTGCTATCTGGGTGTCTATCTGTACTTCCGGGATTCTTCCCGCCGGAGCCTCGCTTTCGATTTCAAAATGGTAGATGTGTAAAATCAGTGTATATCGTCAATGTTTTTTAAAAAAAATTTTTTATTTTTAACTCTTTTTAGATTTTTGATTAAACGGCAGAAATAAGGTCTGTGTTGAACACAAGCAAAACGCACCAGTAACTCCTTCTTGTGTTTTTCCAGCCCGGTCTCATCCCAAAGCGCCATATAGGACGCTTTTGCAAAAGCGTAAATATCCAACGCACATGGCACCCTTTAACGTCTAATGAGACGCTTCGGTTAATGGTTAAGTTTAGATATGGTGTAGGGTAAGGGTTAGACCACTAGGGGGCGCCTTCTGCCCAAATATATCTGCGTCTCATTTCACGTTAAAGGGTGCCATGTGCGTTGGATATTTACGCTTTTGCAAAAGCGTCCTATATGGCGCTTTGGGATGAGAACGCGTTGGTTTTTCTTAAAGCTTTAAGAGGGCGGGGCAACCTGTCAATCACACGAGATCCACCAATAGCAAACCACAACCATCCAATCAACATAAATGTCCACTAGAACACAAGAAGCATGTGATTCTGGAACTGAGCCTGATCTCAAACCACCTCCCATTGCAACTGAACAGCTTCATCAGTCAAAGACAAGTCTCTGACCACTTCTTCTCCTCTAACTGTGTTCTTTGCATGTGCACAGAGGTAATTATAAGGAAGGCGATGTCCCAAAACCCCAGACGCACACAGTGGCTTGTCAATGCTGTTTGGTGAGACGCAGAGCTAGTGGACCCTGAAGGTGCAAACGTCCTACCCGTTCACACTCAGCCGGCACGGGACTCTCAAGGAGACGAATGTAGGTTTGTCCTCAGTGGTCCTGACATCACATGAAGCCTGTGGAGGTTGTTGAGGAGACACGTAATGAATCAAATGGGAACGAACAGCTAAATAGCAGAAGGTCTTTCTGTGCTTCATTCAGGATCTGAGGGGCATTTGAGCCTTTCAAACATGTGAAGCTTCATTATCTATGCCTACTTTCTAAAGGGACAGTGTCATAGGTCTTGTCCACACTGAAAAGCATCTTTTTCTCTCAAAAACAAAGCTTTTTGAAAACACTCTCCAAAGTGGATCCATGTCCAAAGTGAAAACGACGTTTTCGCGTAGTAGTGTGGACTGTCAGAATGGTGATGTTTAAAAAGTTTAGTCATGTGACGCATAATAAACCCATAGATATTCATGCTTATTACAGTATTTGATGAGATGTTTACATCTGGAAGACATTTTTTAGAGTGTTTGCTCATCTGCAATACGTCTATAGACCATTATAGACCAGATGTAAACAGCAGTGGTCCAGAAACACTTCCTGTTTCAGTTTGTAACTGAAACTTTTCTTTATTTCACATGTAAAGAAAACATGACATCTTAAAGATGTTTGTTTAACTTTTTGATTCAGTTTTATATTTTCTGTTGGTTGTATTTTATCCTAGCTTTTAAAAAACTGAAACAGGAAGTGCTTCTGGACCAGTGTTGTTTACATCTTGCAAAATGGTCTATAGGACGTTTCCTGTCAGATGTCAAATAGACGTTTAGAAGATGTCTTTAAGAATGCTTTGGAATATATACCCAAGTTTGGTCTTGTTTTAAAGAAAACACTCAGCAGATTATTGCTGAAGTGAAAACACTTCAAAAAATGAAAGTATGACAACGCTATGGAAGTTTAAATTGACAATACTGTACTATATATTTTTTATTTTATATAATATATATATATTTTACAAATATTTTTTACTCTAAAATTACTATAAAATCAAAGCCATAAATCTTATCAAGTTTTGTTCCAAATTTGAAGTTGATATCACAAAAATTGAACAGGGACAGTTAAGGGGTTAAGATGTAATGATTTAGCATGCATGTTAAACAGACATCTTCTAAATTCAACTCTAAAATTATTCTTATTCAACAGCTCTGCTGCGGTTTAAACGGTTTTATTGCAAACCTTCCAGCCAATCAGAATCGAGTATTCAAAAAGACATGATGTCACCATAACACACCAAACAGACACGAACACACCCTTGTGTGTGAGAGGCACATGCGCTCGCTCCCCGTGTCTGCAGGAGTCCTGTGGTGAAGGGTCGTTCTCTCGCCCGTCCTGCCATGGTGAGGGAACATCTGTTATCATCAGCGGCGGTCTCGGTGTGTGTGCCAGCGGCTGCCATGATGACCAGACCACGACCCTGAAAACACACACGGACTCACACACACACACGTCTGGATTACTATCTTATATGTAATGGTTATACTCTACAAACTGTATATTTTGTCCCCTTACACTGCCCCTACCCCAAAACCTGCCCATCACAGGAAACATTCTGCATTTTTACATTTAAAATAATAATACATTCTGCATTTTTACATTTAAAATAATAATTCTGTATGATTTATAAGCGTTTACCTCATGAGGACCTCAATTTAGGTCCCCACAGTGACACGAGTCCCATGAGTCTGTGTGCATTCATGTTTAAGTCCGAGACACACACACACCTGCTCCTGGAACATACTGCAGGAGGGTTGCTTTCATTATTTACATCCTCTGTGGGCAAAGATTCATCTCCCGTCTCTGATGTGAATGTTCATTAGAGCAGGTCAGCTGGAGGAACACATTTCCATTCTACATCTCCTCATCACTCTCCGTTCTGGATCAAAATCTCTGGATAAAGCCTCCACAAGACAGGGCTTCAGGGATGGAAAACAACCTCAAAAATAAATCAAATAATCAATACAATTAGAGGATTAAAGTAACTTTCTAAATGAATAAATACATTTTATTAGAATTGAAAAATAAATCAGATAAAAAACCTAATAATATAATACATTTAAATAAAATACATAAAACGTTTGAATAAAATACAAAAAATGAACATAAATGTATTTTATTAAAATAAATAGCTATAATAAAACATTTTAATTTAAATAAATAAATAATATAGGCTATCTAACAGTCTTGTTTTCCAGTAAAATAACTAAATATTCTTAAATCAAGATACAGTTAAGTAAAATGACTGAAGATATTGTCTTGATTTAAAAATCATCAATCATAATTATCTTTTCTTTTTTTTTTTTTTTAGTTTAGTTTCCTGACCACACTGGAAGATATTTATCAAAATCTTTGGATAAAGCCTCCATAAGACGGGGCTTCAGGGATGGAGAACAACCTCAAAAATAAATCAAATAATCAATACAATTAGAGGATTAAAGTAACTTTCTAAGTGAATAAATACATTTTATAAGAATTGAAAAATAAATCAGATTAAAAAAAACTAATAATATAATGCATATAAATAAAATACATAAAACGTTTGAATAAAATACAAAAAAATTATATAAATGGATTTGATTAAAATAAATAGCTAAAAAAAACATTTTAATTTAAATAAATAAATAATATAGGCTATCTAACAGTCTTGTTTTCCAGTAAAATAACTAAATATTCTTAAATCAAGATACAGTTAAGCAAAATGACTGAAGATATTGTCTTGATTTAAAAATTATTATCTTTTCTTTTTTTTTTTTTTTTTAGTTTAGTTTCCTGACCACACTGGAAGATATTTATCAAAATCTTTGGATAAAGCCTCCATAAGACGGGGCTTCAGGGATGGAGAACAACCTCAAAAATAAATCAAATAATCAATACAATTAGAGGATTAAAGTAACTTTTCAAATGAATAAATACATTTTATTAGAATTGAAAAATAAATCAGATAAAAAAAAACTAATAATATAATACCTTTAAATAAAATACAAAAAATGAACATAAATGGATTAAAATAAATAGCTTTAAAAAAACAACATTTTAATTTAAATAAATAATATAGGCTAACAGTCTTGTTTTCCAGTAAAATAACTAACTATTCTTAAATCAAGATACTGAAGATATTGTCTTGATTTAAAAATCATCAATTTTTTTATTTAGTTTAGTTTCCTGACCACACTGGCAGATATTTATACTTGTTTTAAGGAAAATCAGTCATTTTTCTTCTCTAGTAAAAATATAATTAATTTTTTTTTATATTTGTACTGGAAAAAACAAGACAAAAATTACTGAGGGAAAATATATTTCTTTCAATTTAACTAAGTTTAAATGCTGTATAACAATTCATATCATTAAGCTAACATTTACTAATACAGATTTTTTAAATCAAAAGTTCTGCAGAAACTATTTCCTCTCAAAAATTGCTAGTAAATTTCACAAATAATTTCAAAGAAACGGTAAACACAGTTTAAGAAAAAAACTTGTAAAACGTACTGCAATAATCTTAAATTTATAAAATTATACCATGACAAATTGCATTTTTATTAACTAACTAAACTAATTGATTAATGTTAGCTAATGCATTAACAAAGGAGTGTATTGTGAAGCGTTACTGATCTAATATCTGCTTTCATGTGTGTTTCAGACAGACAGATCGACGAACAGCTCATGGTCTCTGACAATCACACCTTATTTATAATCTTAATTATGTGCTCATTAATATCCGTCAGCACGAGTTTCGTCTTTATCTTTAAAAGCAGCTGCACACAAACACAGGCTTGAACACTCAACAGTTTAAAATACACTTAATATTCAGTAATATTATTGATTTCGATGCACAAAACTTGACCTGAATAACGACATTGTCTTCTGCTTATCTGAACTTGTTTAATAATAGATGAACTTTACAGTTATTGAACTGAACTATGACACTGCTCTTCCCATATTTGATAGTTTGCATCATTGATTCTGTTATTTTCCCGTTTATGAAGCTGCTTTAAAACGCAAAGTCGATGGTTTAATTCCAGAGCTTGCTATAAGCAATAAAATCATCATTAGAGGGAACAAGACAGAAAGTTGAGTGCGACACATGTGTACCTCATTAACCCTGTCATACATTAAACGATGATCTATAGAGCCGGAGTAGATCAGAGCGAGGAAGCCTAGCAACAGCACGCATCCGTCATGAGGAATCCAGTGCCTCCGTTTGACGAGTGCAGTGCTTTTAATTGGCGTTAGTTGCTGCGATTTCATCTTTTTCTAATGTCTCTATGATAAAGACATTGGGACGAATGACGGCGGTGTGGATACAGCGATCATCAGTGCAGGAAAACAGCCATTAGAGGTCTGCTGATTTCCCATCGGAGGAGTCCAAGACCAGTTAAACAGCCATAAACATGCAGATTGTGACATTCTCCGGCATCGCCCCGGTTCTGCTCGGAGTAATTAACACTGGACTGACTGCAGATCTTGCTTTATATTACTGGACTCGCTCAACAAATCATCAATTACTCACAAAAGAAGATTCTGAAGACGGCCCTTTCCACAATGAGAGTTTAAACTACAACATAAGGCGTGATTTGCATGATTTGATGATGTTGGTCCACCAACTATACTGGTTATGGCTGGTCTAGATGCATAAACCAGCCTGGACTGATTCATGATACATTTCGTAGCCTACGACTTATGCTGAAGATTCTTCTGAAATTCTGTTTTTGTGTTTCATGCAAGGCCATAACCATCTTGAAAATTGAGGGGACCAATGTTTATTTCAACACATTCTCATCCCAAAAAGTCATATAACTGACGTCTTGGGACGTATTTTGACCATACGTCAATATCCGCCTTTTTAGGGCCCCCTTAAACGTCGGTAGATGGCGATCCCGGGCCGTCATACAACTGACGCTTTACCTTTAACGTCAGTTAGGTGACTGGTTAGGTTTAGGGTTAGGTTTAGGTCTGGGGTAGAGTTAGGATCCCATAACCTCATCTACCGACGTTTAAGGGGGCCCTATTGACGTATGGTCAAAAGACATCCCAAAACGTCAGTTATATGACTTTTTGGGATGAGACTGCGTTGTTTATTTCCACACTCTAAATAAATGCTGGGTTGTTTTAACTCAACTTTGGGTCAAATATCGACAAACCCAGCCATTGGATTAAATTTTTTACTTACATTTTTAACCCAACGTTTGGGTTTGTCCATGTTTGACCCAAAGTTGGGTTGAAACAACCCAGCATTTTTCGAGTACAGCGCTTGCCTCGCTGGATACATTTTATTTCATTTTATTTTATTTACAAACACCTTAATCCCACTGAACAGGGAATGTTCTGGCAAGGTTTTCTCAAAATTATGTAACATTAAGTATGCACTCTGAAAATGCTGGGTTATTTTAACCCAACTTTGGGTCAAATATGGACAAACCCAGCCATTGGGTTAAATTTTTTACTTACATTTTTAACCCAATGTTTGGGTTTGTCCATGTTTGACCCAAAGTTGGGTTAAAATAACCCAGCATTTTCAGAGTGTACATTGACTACAACATAATATTTCATTGGTTCTCTATTGTTTTTGCATGTGCTCATAAATTTACAGCCATGTTGCATTCACTCTAAAAAATGCTGGGTTGTTTCAACCCATATTTGGGTCAAATATGAAAAAAAACCAAATGTTGGGTTAAAAATGTGATTAAAAATTTGAAGTTGAAGTTGGGTTAAAATTTTAAATTACATTTTTAAGCCAACATTAAATTGGGGTTGTCCATGTTTGACCCAAATTTGGGTTAAAACAATCCAGCGTTGTTTATAGCGATAGCATATTTCATACACTATGATAATTCAAAGTGCTTTTCACAGAAAGGAATTAAAATAAAAAGTGAATGGACAAATATGGAGAACATACACTCTAAACAATGCTGGGTTGTTTTTCAACAATTCAACATTTCAAATATTAACCCAACTTCAACTTTCACTTTCAACTGTAATTTTTTTAAATTGCATTTTTAACCCTAATTGGGTTCATACAACTCAGCATTTATTAGAGTGTGTCACTATTAATGTTAGTACTCTGTTATTCCAGTAACATTAATAGATGTTTGTTCAAATAATATTCTCAAAATGTTCAAAAAAAACATTATTTATGCATTGTTTGTGGAAGGTCGGAAACGTTGTAATTGGACTTAGATTAACGGGAATTTGATTAAAAATTAACATTAAATCAGACAGTGGGTTTATTAGGCCGCTGTCACTTTAAGAGCTGTACGTATCCAATATACAAACTCATGCGTTTTCTTTTCTCTTGACTGTTTACGTTCACTTAAGATATAACAGAATGTGTTTATGAGGATACTAAAACTTAATGTTAACGTTTTTAAAATGTTAAAAAAAAACCTGAAATATTTTTACGTTTCTGTGGACATTCAGAAATGACTTTCACACAAATGTATTGGAAAATGTTATTAGAACATATTTTTGTTTGCTGGCATAGAAAAATGTCTTTTATATTTAAAATAATTAAATAAATTAAATAAAATTCACCTTCAAGAAAGTGTAAATGTTTCTATTTGAACCGTTTTGAAGGAAAAATGGCTGAAAAACATCATGGAAGCCCATATCCGCCACATAAGGGACAAAATCGTGCTTTGGTAAATCATAACTATGACGTACTAGTCATATTTATGAGATCAAAAGTCAAAATTATGACTTAAAAGTTTAGATTATGACATACTAAATCTCACAATTCAAATTCATTATTTCCATTTTTTATTCTCATAATTAGTACACTGTAAAAATGACTATGCTTTATCTAATCAATAAAATTGTGGCAACAGATTACAAGCAATATTATTTATTAAATTGAACAAATTAGAATTGAGTAATAGTTAATCAAATTAACATTCTAATTAATTCTAATTTGTACAATTTAATTAATAATATTGCTTGTAATATGTTGCCACAATTTTATTGATTAGATAAAGCATATTATTTTTTTCATTGTATGTTTGTAAGATTTTTATGTCATAATTATGATTTATACCAAAGCATTTTTTCCCCTTATGTGTCAGAAAGAGGTTTCCATCATTTTTGGAGGGAAAGTTCACAGGTCAAACTGGTTTACAGACGTTCCCAAACCAGGACAGCGTGACTGGTAATACTAAATCAGACTCCAAACCTGGGTTTCACTGGAGACCAGGATGAAATAAAAAGCTGTTTCCTTTACAAACAAAGCGCATTCATCCTTCAAGGCTACTGTGGATGTTGTTTTCCCTCTCAGAAGTGACCGTTCGGCCTCGTGTTGGGGTCGGTCGTCTGTATGGCATAATGCAGCGCATCGAGCGTCTTCAAACCCACGTCCTCACATTAAAGACCTTCCACCTGAGCTCAGAATAGCACTTTATCTCAGACACACCGAAGTTTCTGAGAGCTCAGAAGTATTTCAGCATGAGCAACATTTATTCACAGATGCCAAAGCTGAGCATCTGAAAGAAAGTGCTGACCTTTAGCCTGGGATAAATGAATCTGAAAGAACCGTACGGATCCCATTTCTGCTCGATAATAGCGCCGCTGTGCAGATGTTTCGTGAGAAGGTTTTATCAATCTAGCCTTAAACAACACAGATGCATCTGTATGCTGGAGATTAAACGCTCGATACGGACGTGCCGGTCCGGTTAGGAAGAGCTGCGGGGGTTAAAGGAAGACACACTTTAAAAATAAAGGTAGCCATCGATGGTTTCATGAAGAACCTTTAACATCTAAAGAACCACTAATGGAAAAGGGATTATTAAGGCGCTATATGTAAGGAGGCTTGTAACAAAACTTAAATAACACAACCTTCCTTGACTTGTCTGTGACGCCTGTAGTGTAGACTGATTTGTATGTGGAAAAAGGTTTTTGGCGGGAAAATTAAAATGTCACGTTTGCGCTCCCTTCTGTTCATTGACACATGAAATGCTACGATGTTCAGGATGATGCCGAAAGAGTTATTCTGCACTGCAATGTCAATGTGTCATGCAAAGAAAATGGTTTTATTCAAACTATAGTCTCACATAGGCCAATATATACAGTCCTTTTCAGTTAGTAAACATGGTGATGTTTGTTTGTGGGCGGAGCTTAGGTGGAGGCGGAACGATCCCTCTTAGACACGTCAGCCGCGTCACTGAACGCGGATCCACAATACAATGCTGAATAAAGTCGGAGTTTGTGTTATTTTTCGACCAAAAAGTATTTTTGATGCTTCAAAACATTGTAATAACCCACTGAAGTCACATGACTACTTTGATGATGTCTTTATTACCGTTCTGGACAAGGACAGTATACCGTACACACGTTCAATGGAGGGACAGAAAGCTCTCGGGCTAAATATAAAATATCTTAAACTGTGTTTTGAAGATGAACGGGCTTGAGACGAGTCATTAATGACATCATTTTCCTTTTTGGGTGAACTAGCCCTTTAAGAACTGACCACTGAAGGTTTTTCGGGGGAACTGAAATTGGTTCTTATATGGATAAGCTGTGCAAAAAAAACAACTTTATTTTTAAGAGTGATATGGACCGAACACATGCAGTGTCACACAGCCCACCGTGACACGACGCAAGAAATAGAGAAACCGATGAAAAATCGTGACTTTCACACTCACAGCCCTTCCGCGGCTGATGTGCCAATGGCAGCAAAAATGCACAGCGAACCCGAAGTCTTTCGCATGTTCTTTAACAACCTGGCAGCTGCGGGACGTATGATTGGACGGCCCTTATCGCCGTGGCGACACTGCCGCTGTATTATATTTTTAACCTGCGCGGAGACAATGGAGCCGGGTTTGGTGTCAATCACAAAGTTGGACTCGCGGCGGCTGATGAGGCCTCAGAGCTGTGTGTGAATGCGTGTTGTCAGCCCTCACCGGTGACACCGATCCTGCTGAGATTCTCCTCAGATGACCGACGAAAGCAAAGTTTCTGCGGGAGACGAGCTTCAGGAACTTAAAAACAAGAGCAAAATCCTCATTAAACAGCTGATCAAACCTCACTGATATGCTCTCTCTGCAAGAAATGCTTTTCACTCAGTATTTTTGTCTTGTTTCCAGTTCACATATCCAAAAATTCTTAAATCAAGATGCATTTACTAGAGGAGCAAAATGAGATAAGATATTATTATGTCATGTTTTCTGGAAATTAATCAAAATTAAGTGAGTTGTTGTGTAGCCCTCAAACCAGCTTCACTGTATAGCCCTTTAAGGGATAGTTCACTTTGAAATTAATTTTTGGTATGTTTTAGCTTACCTCAAGGGCATCCAAGAAGTGTCTTTGTTTCCACAGTATTTTTGACATTTTTCGGTCAAACCGGTGTTGTCTGTCAGTCATATAATGCAGTTTTAGGGGGTCCACGTCAAAGAGCTTGCACAGAGAAGTCAAAATTAAACATGATTTAATGACTCGTGAAAGTACACCTAAGATACGAAACGAGCGGTTTGTGTGAGAAAATGAACAGTATTTATATAGTTTTTACCTCTTGTTAACTGATCTGAATCAGATCGCCAAATCAACCGAACTGAACCGTCCCCACTCCCAGACGTTACGCCTGAAGTGATCTCTCGCGCGTCTAACTTACGTCACGCATTGTTTACACGGAGATTTCGGAAGTTTTACCTTTTACTAAACATATTTAGATATATCGAAATCGTCTTCCATTGCGATTTCCCGTGTATCTAAATATGTTTAGTGAAAGGTAAAACTTCCGAAATCTCCGTGTAAACAATGCGTGACGTAACGCGCGAGAGATCACTTCCGGCGATACATCAAGATACATTTACTTTAGAAGCAAAAAAGATATGAAGTCTCGTTTTATGAAGAAAAAAAAAACATCGGCTAATGGAATAATAAAAAATAAACTTTTTCTGACCCCATGTTCTTGTTTTATTATATAAACATTATTAAATCATGATACATTTACTTTAGGAGTAAAATGGCTAAAGATATGAAGTCTTGTTTTCTGAAATGTAAAATTAAGTGAGTTTATAAGTATACCTAAACAAGTAAAAAATATATATATGTATACACATACCAATGGGGTCAGAAAAGTAATTCAAAGAGAAAAACTAGTTTATTTTTCCTTAGGTCTACAACTGGCAAATAATGTTTCTGGTTTTAAGCATAAGTTTAATAAATCTTTCAGAAAACAATGTTGCTTCTCCAGCAAATGTATCTTGATTTAAGAATGTTTATGGAAAAACATAATTTTTGCAGTGTATTATTAAAGGAATCATTCACACATTATAAGAATATGAGTGTCTACATGGCATGAAGCAACAACAGTATTATATATGCAAGCCATGTGGATTTCAGTGAAAGATTCAAATGTTTTCTGGCGTATATAAAGCGCTCTGATGAATCTTCTGTGTGTCGTTGCATTGTTCAGATAATGGCCAGGTTGTTGGTGGTCGGCAGATAAACAAGGTGAGCCTTAATCGCTCGCCTGTCGGTGGATTTGTAGCTCGGCTCCAGGAGCCCAAACTAAGATGACATTTGAGAAAATCCATAAGCGTCACTGGCCTTTGGAGAGTCGAACTCATGGGATGGAAAAGACAATTAGCAGCATTTCTGCAGTGCGATGGAGGGGGTTTTGCTGTTGTCTCTCTCAAACCTCTCGACACATCCACGGCCACCCGAGAGACACAGAAAACAGTCAAAGCGTCATTACACAGAAAATGGCCCAAAGAGCAGCGGCACGATCTGTTTCTGCACTGATATGAACGACTGGGACTCATTTGACCCGCAATAACTCCACAGATACACATTTAAAGGAACAGTGCGGCGGAAAATGAACATTCACACGGCCAATCAATCATACTCTTAAAGGGATAGTTCACTTTGAAATTAATTTTTGGTATGTTTTAGCTTACCTCAAGGGCATCCAAGATGTAGGCGTCTTTGTTTCCGCAGTAGTTTCAATTTTGATATTTTTAGATCAAACCGTTCGTGTCTGTCAGTCATATAATGGAGGTCTATGGTCACCACCTCAAAGAGCATGCACAGAGAAGTCCAAATTAAACATGATTTAATGACTCATAAATGTAAGTACACGTTGATGGCCTAAGACACGAAACAAGCGCTTTGTGTGGGAAAACGAACAGTATTTATATCATTTTTACCTTATGGTACCACAGCCATGTCTGGACTTTAAGGTTTTACAATTCAAGACATAAACATTAGTGTTGAAGTCACCATGAAATCAAAATGGACAATTCTTATGTTTCATGGAATATTACGGTGTATTTTAAATTTAAAAAATTTTGTTCCTGGTAATCTTGAATCAGAATAACTTCCTCTTGCAGCGTCTATTCTCTGATGATGAGGGCGGGGCAACCTGTCACTCACATGAGATCAACCAATAGCAAACCACAACCATCCAATCAATTCCCACAAACAAAGTCAAGCCCCGCCCATATTTGTTCTTATTCCAGAAGCGTTCACATCATAGGGAAGTAAACTTCTGTTTTATGCAGACTTTATAATAATAATTAATAATTAAATAAATAAAAAAACAATAAAGTACTGTTTATGTGACTATTTATACGAATGTGCCATTCAATTATTGAAATATTTGCTGAATATCCTGTATTTTTGCAAAGCAGTTTCTCTCCCTCATGTCGACCCAAACCCCTATGATTGTTTAGCAGCAGATGTTTAGCAGTGCGAACGTCACACTCTCTGAGATTTTCACTGAATAACACCTCAAATGAGTGTGTTTTTCACACAGAGCATCACGTCTGCACCTGAAGAGCAACACGACCGCGTCACCGACTGCTACGGCGCCCCTAAAGGGACATGGCGATGAAATGTCGATGCGTTCGCGTTCCCTTGAGAAACTCAAAAGTTCTGCGAGTAAATGCAAAGTTTCTTCATCATCTGACATCATTTTTTCTCCCATCTCATATTTTTTTCCACCACAGCTTTGAAGAGAAAGTCTCCAACATCGCACATCTTACATCCTGACCTCTTCAGACTGCCATCGGTGGCGTTTTGCATCAGTACTTTCTATAATAAGCAGCACGTTGTGTATTAGTTCATATGACGGAGCGTGTTAGTGCCCACGCTTCGTTTGAGACACAGATGGCGCAGTATTTTAGTGGCGGTGTGTAGGTGTTGATATTGTACTACATGTACAGAATAAGCCCTCTGCAATCTTGGGTTATGTAAAGTTTAACTGCATCTCGGCTTCCAAAAGTTTCACCAGCCGTCCGCCGATCCAACGAGACTGATGTGAACCAACTCAACTAGGAGGTGTGTTTGTGCATTAATGACTCTTGGGCTAGAAATACATCAAATACTCTGGAATAAAACCTCCTGCACACACACACACATTAATACACAGAACATTAATGGTGCTTTTACCTGCACTCTCTTCAGTCTGTGGCCCGTTCTTCTTCATACGTCAAACACCAGGTCCCGTATTCATAAAGAATCTTAATGCAGAGTCGCTCCAATTCTAAGAAAATTCATAGAAATTGGGCGTTTACTCTTAAAATTAGAGAAAAAAGTAATTCAGAAAGCATCTTGACCCTTAAAAGAGGTCTTTGAACTTTGAGCGTTGTAACTTTGATGATGTCGTTTATGTTCAAAATGCAACATTACACACAAACTTAAGTTTAGAAAAGTGAAATCATATTTTAAAAGACTCCTACGTAAAAGTTTTTAAGCTAAATTAGGAGTTATCTTAGAACGGGCCCTAATTTAGTTCTTCAAGCACTCAATTTTTTTTTATTTTTTCAGTATTTTTTCTGAAGAAATACAAACGTAAATAGTGATTAAAGCCACAATATTAAATTTAATGGCTGCATTATTTACTAGGTAATCCACTATTTTGTAGAAGGGGTCAAAATGACAATTTTACAGGAGATTTGGAGCCAAATTACAGGGGGTGAAAATGACTTTATGAGATGGCAGAATCATTATTTTTTTTTTTTACACAGAGATTGGCAGGTCTATTAGTTAAATCTGTTGGCTTTAGTCAGCTTTATTGTATTAAATGCCAACGGTGACAGTTCAAAAATGGGGAAAAAGCACTTCTCTGTGTTTTTTTAACCAAGTTTGCATGTCTGTAACTCCAGTATTAAAGATAAAGGTTTTTTAACAATTATTAATTACTATTTTACTCATGGACCCGCATTAAGATCTCCATATTTCTGGGATTGAACTATATAAGGCCTTTAAAATAAGGATACCAAAAGAAAAGTTTGTTAAGAACCAGAATCAAAAAAGGATATTAAGATATCTTTAATACTTTTTGAGTTATAGGCATGCAAACTTGGGGTTATAACCAAAATAAGTGTTTTTTACCCCCTTTTTTGAACTCTCACTGTTGGCATATAATGCAACAAAGATTGCTTATCTTAAGTCAACACATTTGACTAATAGACCTGCCAATATTTGTGTAAAAATATAATCAATAAAATAATGATGCTGCCATCTTAAATTCATTTTTACACCACATTTGGCTCCAAATCTCAGTGTCATTTTGACCCCCCTCAACAAAACAGTGGATTATTCGGTCAATATATGTTCATGACATTTAATATTTTGGCTTTCTTCCTTATGCAACAAAAAAAAAGCAAAAAAAAAAATGTGTTCTACATTTTTAGCTGGGAACTTCCAGAATGATTGGATTAGCAGATCTGCATTGAGCTCTTTGACATATGAATTAATAATGAATGAATTTTGATGTATGAAAGAAGTCCCATGATTATACACAATTGTTCAGACTCACTAAACGCGGAGTCATTTTATAAAGTTACAAAGAATCATCCAAATAGGAACCGAACGAGTCAGAAAAATGACATTACTTAAAACAGGAAAAAATATCTTCCAGTTTGTCTGTCTTGCTCTCTTCCCATCACGCTTTCAAAGCGGGTTGGTTTAACATATGATCCTGTTCTCCTCTTGAGTGTCAGAAGGTGATCCAGGTGCAGTTCTTAAAAGCGCTGACATCAAACGCAGTGGCCGAATGAATCCCGCTGAAACTTATTAATAATTCATCAGAACATCTCTCCTAACACCGTCAGATCAGTATTTCGGTTTTGTTTTCCAGTAAAAAAAAATATCTAAACATTCTTGAATCAAGATACATTTCTTAAACTAAAGATATTAAGTGAGTTTATGCGGTCAGTAGGTTCATAAAATACTCTCGTTTTAACTTTGAATTAATTAAATTGGCAGATATTTGTTTAGATATGTTTGGATAATTTTACTACTTAATTTTTCTCTGAAAACAAGATTTAAACTTTAAACTAAGTCAATAATTTTATCCCTTAAAACTCACCAAAATGACATATTAAAGCATGTTTTTTCCTTGGAAAAAATTATTCATGCCTTAAAATATCTTGAATGTAACTCGACACCCTTCCCTCATTTAGTATGCGCGGTTCTATGAATATGCAAATGAGCCCCGCATCCACTCACGCGCTCACTCAGAGATCCACTGGTTGACGATCACACGTTGATCTGATTGGTTACAAGGTCGTTTGTGACGTCAGAAACACCAGCGATGTTTTTGAGACTGTCTTTGGTTCACTGCAGTTTTAAGCAGAAAATACTCGAATTTACATAAATTTAGACATGGTGTGTCTTAAAGCATATTAAAAACACCACATAGACATATAAACAACATTAAAAACTGGATTTTTACCACAGGGGGACTTTAATATTTTTAGTCATGTTGCTTCTCTAGTAAATGTATCTCAATTTAAGAATGAAAACAAGACAGAAACACTGAGGAAGAACATCATGGCGTCTAGTGCATGGCGTCACTTACATCAGCAAACCCTGAGGAGCTGAACTGCTGTGTGACCCGATACTGCAGAATATGATCTTCTCTTCACCTGACGCCTACCTAGTGCTCTCACCGGGCAGCATTCAGGGAGCATCTCATCAGAAACACTGACACTCAAACTCCTCCACCGTCTTACACATTTACATCCACTGCATTACTTCCATCGATGCGGTTTAATCCAGGAACCAGTCATGTCAAAGGTCGCTCGGCAACAGCTTAAAAAAGCGCATTACACCACGAAACTACTCAAGAAATCAAATGTTTTATGGTTTTTAGTATAAATATGTTAGCCTTACTGTTAGCTAGTGTGCTCCAAAACTATGGAAAAATTCACATTTAGAAGATACAAGCGTTCAACACTTAGTCTCTCACTTCACCAATATGGATCAATGATTTTGATGACATCACTCTGCACCAGATTTTCTGTCCAATCAAATGCTCTCTAGAATCCCACAACATTATAAACACTGAAACTGCGGCTGAAATCAGTCACGTTCACACATGACTGTTTTCTACATGGTGAATTGCACATAGTGCACTATATAGGCGTTAGGGAACGATTCAATGTAAATATGCTTTCCATTGTGGCGAATAAAGTCTGGTTTCACGTTAGATTCATCGCAGCTCCAGAGCGGATCATGTGATCGAGTCACCGCAAAACCAGAAAATGCGTCAGATGTTTTAATTTCTGCACAGAAAGCTGTATTTTAAAGCGAGGAGTTTAGGAGGAGAAACGGTTAGAGATTAGGAGGAAACAACGGCTTCGAGCGGCTCAAGTTGGATATAAACAAAACGCCATTGGCTATTTAAAAGGGGGAGGAGCTAATCGATTTGCCCCGCCCAGTCTTCTTGTTTCAGTGGACATTACAAAGGCTAGAAATCTCATCCACGCTGCTGGCCAATGGAGGTCGACGTCTGCACCTGGCGGCCATCTTATCACAGGCAGCTCGCTCACTCGTAACTGTGTTAATGGTACATGTACTATTTAACCATAACTTGCTCAATTTTCTACCGATTTTCAAACGGTTTGGTTTGTTATAATCATCAGAGATGTAGTTATGACACAGCATACTTATGAATAATAAGTGTATAAATAAATAATCATCCAGA